CATAGGAGCGCTGGGCCTAGGCAAAACACATGACTGAGCTCAAGCTTTGCATTTTATGAAACTGCTGTGACTCTCCAGGATCAGCTTCCCCTCACATACGCGCTGAGAATGAACCACGTTTAGAGAAGTTCAGCTATTTACCTATTCTCCACTAAAATACTTTTAGTCTTCCCTCCCTAGATTTTCTGCATTGTTCCTCCTTTGCATGTATTTCTTTAATTGGTGACATATTTTAATGGTGCGACATCCAAGCATTTGAGAATGCAAAAGTTATTACAAATGCTGTGAGTGACACAGCAATTTAACAAAGCACTGAAGTGACTGTTTTTAAATCCTTATTAAGCTTTGGCATTGTTCTCCTCTGTTTTGTTCTCACCATATGACCAGGTTTGGGGAGAGCTGTATTTGTTTTAGCTGCAGAAGCAAAATACATGGTAAAAAAAGACGAAACCTAATTTTTCAATAAAATGTCTTGTTTACTAGTGGATAAGGCAGACACAATATTTTGAAATACAGCTTAGGGTCGAGCCCTGTGATACTAAAGCCCCTTCCAGATGCCACTGCAGGTAAATACTTGATGCTGAAATGAAGCAAGCAAGAGGCAGGCACAGGACTTTGCCATTTGGGTGTAACCTGTGACTTGGGTCAGCATAGCCACCTTTTGAAAAAGCACCTTCAAAATCAAAACTGAGCAAGTTAAGAAAGCAGGATTATGTGCTGATTATCTAACTACTATTGCTATTATCTACTATGTGCTATTATCTAACTACTGAATTTCCCACTGGAGCCTTCCAGGGAAAATCCTGCTGTAGTGATTAATGACAAAAATATTTCTCAGGGTTCGATCCAGCTGTGCTGTGGGCGCTCAGCAGGCCTGTGCAGCCGAAACCACGCCACGGGCCCCGGAGTCCCCGTCTGCCCAGGGCCTGCCGGGGGTGGACGGCGATCTCCTTCCCCTACCTGCAGTCCCAGACTGCTCCCTTTCTTTCTGCCTCCCCCTTTGGGGAATCCGGGCCTGAAGAGCATGCATTTGGTGAAGAAAAGTATGTGGAGTTATAGCTGCTTTTAGAAGCACTTTTCTTCTTTTGACAGAAATCCCTATTTCATGGAGCAAAGTAAGTTTTAGACAATTAATTATTTAGGCGTGTAACAGCATCTACAAAGGAGGAGTATGGGCTGTGTTAAGCATGGAAAAATGCCATCTCCCCTCCTTGAAGGCCATGGCCTCTTATTGCTTGTAGTATTGCAAATCTAGCAAAAATCC